TAAAGATCTCTTGGAAAATAAAACCCCTAGATGGGTGTCACCAGTCGAGGCTAAAGCAGTAAAGAAACTCAATATGGAGGTCGGATGGCCGAAGTATTGGGAAATTTTGGAACAGGATGGAGATAAGTGGAAATTACAAAGCTATGACAAATTGAAACATAAAGTACAAAACTGGCTTCAATATTACCAAATAATGGAGCTTTTCAAACAGGACAGGAAAATTGGCTTTCAGGTGGAAAAATCAAAACTAGAGATTGAACTGTTAGAACCCAACACTAAGAATTTATCAAAAATGTATAACTTGTTGTTGAAATGGAATACACAGGATGAAACGGTGAAATCAGCCATGATTAAATGGGCACAAGATATTGGTCATGACATTATGTTTGCTGACTGGGAACAGTTATGGACCACCGGTGTTAAGTTTACGGCATGTAATGCCTTAAGAGAAAACATAATGAAAATGATTTACAGGTGGTACATGACCCCAGTCAAGCTGGCAAAAATCTATCATTTGCCCGATAACAAATGTTGGAAGTGTAAAGAGACTGAAGGTACCTTCTACCACCTTTGGTGGACATGCCCGAAGATTAAGGCCTTCTGGGAAATGATCTATAATGAAATCAAAAAGGTACTCAAATGTACCTTTCCTAAAAAACCAGAGGCCTTTCTCTTGGGCATTGTCGGCCAATTGGTGACAAAGAGGGATAGAACTTTCTTTATGTACGCTACAACAGCAGCAAGAATACTCATCGCAAAGTATTGGAAGACACAAGATCTACCCACTCTGGAAGAATGGCAGATGAAAGTGATGGACTATATGACATTGGCCGAGATGACAGGCAGAATCCGTGACCAACGAAAAGAGACGGTGGAAGAAGAATGGAGAAAATTTAAAAGTTATCTTAAGGACTACTATAAACTTAATGAATGCTAAAATGTTGTGGTTTCCAGAAACAAAGGGATACAGGGATATAAGGTTAGAAATATAAAAGAGGACTAAGATGACAGAGATTGGAAAGTAACAATTGGGAGTTGCTAGTTGAATTATGGACATTGGGATGCAGAGAGGGGGGGTATGGGGAAGTCAAAGGAAAGAGGTTTATGAAAATATGTTTGAAACTATTCGTGTATGTTTGTCTTTTTTGGTGTTTGTTTGTTTTTCTTAAAAAGTTTCTAAAACCAATAAAAATTTTATAAAAAAAAAAAAAATTGTTAGCATATCTAAGTTGATGTGTCAGCACAAAGTAGCTATTTTGGTGTAAAAGCTCAGCTATCAGAAAATAAATATGTCCCCATAAAAATAGAAGTAACTAAGCCTGAAGCATTCCACTATCTCACTTTTTATGAATAAAGCTGTTAACAATTGAAAAAAAAAAAAAAGAGAAGGCTTTAAAAGTTTCAAATGGGCTTTGGCACAGCACTAGTCCATCCTAGTTGTGATTAGTGTCAAGGACTTGGACCAAAAAAACAGACGATATTTTGAGGAGCAAGTGAAAACTCACCAATTAACAAATTCTCAGTTGGAGAAGAACTTCTTAAGAAATGATGTTCAGTTGGAAAGACATCCAAATTCACATCCCAGACCAAATTCACATCCCCAAAACAGATAATTAAACATGTTAGCAACATACCTACTGGAGAGCAGTTTTCTGCCTAGTACCTCACGCAGCTTTCTTGGTTAGAATCGCAAAATTATTGTGACACCAATGACTGGCTTTGTTCAGATTATGCACATGCAGCTTCCCCATTTTATTCTTTTAATGAATAATACTATTTTCCTCAGAAACGTAAGCATCTTCGACAACAGTTTGCTTGTTCCCTTTCCACTTCACTGGCAGGATCAAGGGAAAGCACATAAAGAGCAGGAAATCAGGAACTGTTGGCTGAAAGGTCACCAGGAGGCAGCATTACTGAAAAGTCAGGTGCCACCAAACCAGAATTTTTGTGGGCAACTTGCAACCCCTCAGCCTAGACTACATTCAGATTTGGGGAATACTGTGTTGGTTTTCCTGATTATAATAGTGCTTCTGTTCTGCTTGATAACATTTCTTTCACACTGCAGAACCTGTTGTATTATGGGACTGTGGCTTTTGAACCAGTATATTGATATGTTGTGCTAAATTTCATTCAGCAACCAACCTCACAGGACAACGGCACTACTACTACTGCACCCCTTCTGTGTGCTTCTGCGAAGGCAGCCCTGTATTGGGAAGTTTTTAACATCTGATGTTTCGCTATTTTAAAAATATTCTGTTGGAAGCTGCCCAGAGTGGCTGGGGTATAAGTAATGTTGTTGTTGTTTTGTTGTTTAATCATGTCCAACTCTTTGTGTCCCCATGGACCGGAGCACGCCAGGCACTCCTGTCTTCCACTGCTTCCCGCAGTTTGGTCAGACTCATGTTTGTAGCTTCGAGAACACTATCCAAACATCTCGTCCTCTGTCGTCCCCTTCTCCTTGTGCCCAAATCTTTCCCAACATCAGGGTCTTTTCCAGGGAGTCTTCTCTTCTCATGAGGTGGCCAAAGCATTGGAGCCTCAGCTTCAGGATCTGTCCTTCCAGAGAGCACTCAGGGCTGATTTCCTTCAGAATGGATAGGTTTGATCTTCTTGCAGTCCATGGGACTCTCAAGAGTCTCCTCCAGCACCATAATTCAAAACCAGCACCATAATTCAAAAATATGCCTGTTGTCTTTGTCCACGGAGTTTTCTTGGCAGGGATACTGGAGTGGCTTGCCAGTTCCTCCTCCAGGTGGATCACGTTTGGTCAAAACTCTCCACTATGACCTGTCCATCTTGGGTGCCCTGCTCGGCATAGTTCATAGCTTCTCTGAGTTTTTCAAGCCCCTTTGCCACGGCAAGGCAGTGATCCATGAAGGGCTGTATTATATTATATATATAAGTAATAAATTATTATTATTTTGTTCCCCCGTGAAAGAACTGCATGCCAGTACTGCGCCCCAATTTTTGTCACTTTACTCATGCAGTTTTCCAGGTTAAGGGGTCTGCTGGAATCAAATAACATGGAAACGAGTGCTAAACACGTACTATGTTCCATCATTTTCCTGGAAGTGGCTTTTACATTGTATGAAAACTCAGATATAGTGAGGAAATTAACAATTAACAGAAACATCAGGGAATTGGTGTAAACGGCCACGTGAATGCAACCTTAATTTCATAAAGGTGAAAAGGAGTAGTAAACTGGTAGTAAAGGATAGAAGAAAGTGAGAAAATGGAGTCAGAGAGAGAGAGAATGGGGTGCCCCACCAGCATGCAACCTCTAAGTAAATGCAGCCCTATCAGAAAGGTGGGGAGCCCACCGCTCCCCCTTCTGCTTTATAGGCCAAGCCAACATTTTATCCCTTTAGCCAGTTGCCAGAATCAGACGAGGCAAAGCCAGCGAAAAAGCATAATCCCATCACTTGCACTTGGACTGCTCAGAGACCCATTACTGAGTGACGGCAGAACAACAGCATCACTGCCTTTTAATTCCACGGGCTGTAAAAGCTTCCTCTGAGGATAGTTTGAGAGCAAATGGCACCTGTGGGCCTTCTGGGCCTAACAATTCAGAGCAGCTGGACCAGCTCCACTCTGAGACTGATGCTCTCACTCTGTTCGTTAACCTGCCATCCCACACGAGGCTACAGCGCTAGCTCAGGGGCACACTTCAGGTTTGGGGGTTGTTTCTGCTTTTGTTCCAGGCTGTTCTGCTCCTCTGGCTTTTGCAACCTTTGAAAATAGATCCATGCCATATTTTTTCCCTTTTTTTGTGTGTGCTAGGTACAATAGAAAGCAACCATTTATTTTCATACAGGCTGTCACTGGGCTTCGCCTGTGTGTGTTTATAGATTACAAAATATAACACCGCCATTTCCTTTCCAGACTCCTCTCTAATTACACTTTTGAAAAGAAACAGGCCTCTTGAGCTAAAACGTGCCAACTGTCAGGGACGGGCTGGACCCTGAGGAGTGGGCACCGGGAGGGCGGTTCCCCCCCCCTTTTAATCCCAGATGGAAGCCGTCTGACATCACTAAGTGCTGGAGAGATAGCACTCTGCCTATGTTCAAGGTGGTTTACCAGTATTATACGCCCATTTCTAGAGCTGAGCCTTGCCACTGAAAATAGGTTCAGGGTCTACAACGTGGCGAGCCCTGGCTCAAAGTACGTCTTGCTTTTGAAACAAACCTATGATCAAAATGTGTTGGGATTTATGCTTGGTAGATTTCTGGTTTTTGCAACTATCAGAAGCACAGGAGGTCTCCTTAAGACCCGCTTGCATCTCCAGAACCACCACTTGAAGAGTAATGCAAGTACAGGGCACTTCCCAATCGAATCATGGCATTCTCCATGTACAGCAAATAATGCAAAAACATGCAAGTTTGTTGTGACCGCTCCAGGTCAGAAGTGTGGACCCACAAGCCTTGGGGCTTAATACAGCCCTCCAGGCCTCTCTATCTGGCCTAAGGGGCACCCCTAAAGGCTATACCAGGCATAGGCAAACTTGGCCCTCCAGATGTTTTGGGACTACAACTCCCATCATCCCTAGGCTAACAGGACCAGTGGTCAGGAATGATGGGAGTTGTAGTCCCAAAACATCTGGAGGGCCAAGTTTGCCTATGCCTGGGCTATACCCTCTCCAGCCATGCCCCTCTTCCCAACCCTCCATTGCATTCTCTTTTGCATGGTGGGTATGTGTATTTGAATTTTTGCTAATACTTCTGACGCATCTGGATGGAGAATAGAGAGGAGTATGTATGAGAGTATATAGAAACCAGCCTCCTGTGCATTGCTCTGCCCACTATGCCTCCATCCCTGGCCCAGGTAGTCACCAGAAGTTTGTCCACAAAGGGATGTGTCTCTTGGGAAGAAACATGTTGCCCAACCCAATAGGCTCTCCTTGCTCTGATCTCTCTTTCCACCCCTTTGTTTTCTACCGCAAAGATAGGAAAGGTGATCTTTCCGAACAATCCTAAAGCCCTTCAGGTCACTTGAGAACTTACCTTAAAAAACTCCTGCATCTTCATAAAATCATGAATAGTCAGCCTGTTTTCAAGTCGTTCTGTACTTTTCTCTCTCACAGAATCTTCAGCCATGTTAAGCAGCTGCTTCCCAGTAGCAGCCATGGCTTTTTTTTTGACCCAGGAAATGTGGTGCTCGTGCTTAATTTGCTTTTATCTCAATCAATACATCTCCAAAGGTGGTTCTTTGCTCGGCTTTTATGTCCTTTCAGAATTTAATTTCCTCCAGAATAATTTGTGGTGAGCCAGCCGTCTCTGGAATGTCAAAAAGGGTTTGGATGGACAAGAACCAAAAGGACAAAACACGGACTTCGATCACAATGCTCTCGTTTCTATTTCTCACAGGTTGCATGTGAGCTCTGGAATGCTGTATGCGAGCCAGGAAAACGTAAGTGGCTTTCTCTGATGGTAAATAGAATCCATCCCAGCAAATTTATAACCTTTTACAGTTTCTTCCTGGAAATGTAACAGAAGCTGTTCACCTGGAGAAAATCCATTTTGCTTACCTTGTTTGCTATTAATGTGCTATTTATTCAGATTAAAATCCCATTATCTTTCCCAACCACACTTGATTAGCTCCAGCACTCCTTTCTCTTGAGTGCAGAGTGGAGGCTATAGGCATTTCGCAGGACTGCTTCGAGTAGCTGAGTTTCCTTGAGTTTGCAAGCGTTCCTTAGCAACCTTGCACAACACTAGCTAACTGCCCTTTCCACCCCTCCCAATTAGTGGGAGAAATTGCTTAGCTAGGAAGGATCTGTTGCAGCAAGCTGGGAAAGGAAGCCCACCTATTTGATTTAAAGACTTGGAAGCCATTCAGAAGAGCAAAGGGCCTTGAATTCTGAACAGGTGCATGCACACAGACAGGCATAGTGCTTGTGCAACCCTCATGAGCTGCTGATCAGCATGGTTGTTATAGAGCACTGAGCGGGATCCTGGCAGTAACACAATTAATACTAATTTTAGACCAGAGGTGAAGAACCTATACCCCTCCAGCTGTCCCAGCTCTCATCACTCCCAGCCAACATGGTCAATAGTCAGGGATGGTTGGAGTCCAGCATTATTGGGAAGTCTATAGGTTTTCCATCCATATTTTACTCCACCTGTAGTCTGTTTGCAGAGCGGAATACGACCCAGTAGCTCCTATGTTGTATTTGGTCTGGTTTTGCTTTACTCAGAAACAAAAGGAGATGGAAGGCCAGGAGAGGTGGAGATTACTACTATAGTAAATTGTAGCCGCCATGTGCAGTCTCCTTCCACCCAACCACCCAAAAAAATCTCACATATGATGAGCCTTCTGAGCAACAGTTTGGCTTCTTTGGGGCTTATTCATCCATTAGGAAACTCACATGAACCATTGGATGCCCCCTTCAGAGGTTGCTGGACCAGAACTCCCATCATCTCTGACCACTAGCCAACTTGGGTGGGGCTGATGGGAGCTAGAGCCTAGCAACCTCCAGAGAGCCACATCCCTTAAGTCTTTAACCTATTTCTGAGCTTGGTTGGGGAGAGAGAGAGAGAAATGGGCAGAGGCTAGGGGACTGTATCTACTCCTCTACCGCCCCTAACGTACATGGCTGAAGACTGATTAGGGTTTCACATGGCCAGCCCCAACTACTATAGAATGCCTTCCATCTGTTTGCAAGCCTTAATAAATAATAACAATGTTATTATTTGTATGCCGCCCATATGACTGGGTTTCCCCAGCCACTATGGGTGGCTCCCAACAGCATATTAAAAACACAATAAAACATCAAACATTAAAAACTTCCCTAAACATCTGATGGGAGGGCGTTCCACAGGGCAGGACAATGATGTCATTGTCACAAGCTTGATACCACTGAATTTTATCAGTCCCAGCACCTGGCTGAACATGGGATTCAGCACCAGACTGAAGACTTCTGGGGTGATGGGTGGAAGAATGGGATTTATTTTTAAAAAAGAAAACATTTTGGTAGACTTGCCTCTATCTGCTAGTCAGTTGGCACTCCACTGTTCCACTTCCAGGTGCTGCAAGATTATCCTGCTGTGCAGCAAAACATAGCCAAGCTTAACACTGGGCATTGAGAAAGGATTGACAATGCAGCTCTTTCTGATGGCTATGTCCCCGTTAAACAGGAATGCTTTGATCTTATCCTACACAATGCATCAGATACTCCAAATTATACTAAAATCACAGGCCCCTTTCATCGCTGTCACCAGGCCTAAAAACTACCTTTAAAGGCTAATCCCTTTTCTGTTGCCTCTAGAGCTGTGATCAATTTCTGTCCTGCTGCTGAGAGTAATCCAAGGCTTTGTAGATGTTCACAAAACAAAAATGCAAGTCAAAGCTTTACACAGAGAGGCTGCTACGGGGCTATATCCCCATGAAACCAAAACCCATATAATCAATTTCTTCTTTAAAATTTCTTTTACTGAAGTTTGCTGCTGTTCCGTACATAGGGAGCTACCATTTCCTCTTCTAGCCTACTAGTGTTTCATTTTATTGGTGTTTTACTAATAGCGTTGGCAGCAGCAACAGCAGATTTCCAGGTTCTCAAGGCAGAGGTCCTTCACATCATCTGCTACCTGAACCTTTTTTTACTGGTGGGCTCTGGGATTGAATCTTGGGCCTTCTGGGAGGAAAGCCTGCACACTTATCCTAGGGATAAAAGGATCTGGAAAATTTTGGCTCTCCGTTTCTCATTTTTTCAAGGCTTAAATTCAGTTATCCCAATTTTTCGGCATTTTGTGATTTAAAAACAAACAACCTCATCAAGGTTCATCAGCATTTTAGTGCAAACTTCTCCAGATAACTTTTTATATGCAGCTTTGACTCACGTACACATTTTTTGCAAGCATTTTCCCTGATGCAATATATTTTTGTATGCTAATTTTCACCAATATCTTCACTTTTATGCACACTTTCCCCCAATATATGCATTTTCGTATATTGGCTAGAGAACTGTATCACAAAATTCAGATAAGTGCAGATTTTGAAGGATAGCTGTGTATCAATTTATGTAGTTTTGTAAACTGGTAAGATCCAGCTTTAAGTGAATACTGGATTGATTTTCTCTCTCTACTCCTAGTCCCCACCCTACAAACTAAGGGCTAACACCTCCATCTCAGAAAGCAGGGGAGAAACAAACCTGGACAGGAGCTCCCTTCTAGTTCTCAAATAGAACTGCAGCTGCTATTCAAAATACAAGAAAATATTACTTCGAAATCGGCAGATCAAACTTCAATCAAAGCAGACATACAAGAGAACAAAGGACTGAGCAGGAACAAGGAAAACTGCTGCTGGGCTTGATCTAACATCTGAATGTGGGGAAGGTCCCATGCACACACTGGTTTGTTACCTGATCTCCAGCAAAAAGAAAGAAATGTGATGGCAAGTCCAACCATCCTTTCCCATGTTGTGGCAGATCAATCAGCTGCTTCACACCTCAAACTCGACTACAGGTCATCAAGGCCCCCCCCCCAAAACATGCCTACTGAAAATGTCATAAAGGCACAAATGTCAATTCTTTAACAAAAACCAAGGGTAGACACCGAGGTCCAAATTGCTTGCACTTTATGGAGCTTTTATACTAGCAACTGACAAGAGCAACCATCAGAGTGAATTGTATTGTGGAATTTTAACTCTCTTGTTCAACCAAGACTTCACAGCCACTTGAGCTGAATGAAGATCAGTTTTAATTATCCACAACACCCTTTTGATATTCTGTAGTTCTGCATATGTTGTGGCCTTGTATGTATTTTACTAAATGTTTCATATTCTTTTCTGTCAACTACCTTGGGAAATCTTTGTGCGGTCCAAAAGAGGCAAGGGCTTTCCCCATGAGTTCCAGCGTGAAAGAGCTGTGTGCATAACAAATGGAGCAGAGCTTTGAAACATGCAAACCAGCTGCAAACTCCAAGTACTATGTATAAGACTTGTGTGCAATCAGTGCTTTGAGAGAGACAAGCAGCTGCACACCCCACCACTCTCAGTTGCTACCAGAAATACAGAACATCTGGAAGCTAGGAGGTTTAAAAGCTGTTAACAGCATTTCAGAGAAACCAAGAAATGCCCTTTTCCGAAAGCACTCAAAAGGTAATAGTTATTAACAGCTGACAAGCAGGGGTTAAGTTTGGCTGTGAGCATCTGGAGCAGGCACACACAGCAGAAGACACAAGCATCAGTCGCACTCGAGAGAAGTCCCTTTCACAGTGCATTAGTGACTAATGGAATGGCTGAAGAGGACATAAGAAAAATAGTTTTCCCTTTCCCTGCTATCATCTTTGGGATAATATTTTAAACCTTTGTGGATGTGAAAGACATGCACACCGCCCATTTCCAATCCTAAAAGATAGTATAATGGAATCAGATTATACAGATAATCTAACAGATGTAAACTATTTATTGAATATTTGCCACCAATATCGTTAAATACATCATCTTGCAGTTTTTTTGTTTGTTTTTTTGCTTTCAAGTTAAAATGTCAGAAACAGAACACCAAATATTTACAATTCTTATAAGGAATGTTACATAATGACACATTAAGGCGTAAATTCTTTTGGCTTATAATTCTGAAAAGAATGATAATAGCAAAAAAGTGATGCAAAATCTTCATCGTGAGATTATGATTAAGCTACAATGTTTTTACAAAAATATGGTGTAAGATGGCAATAAATCCCATTCAAAATCCTGCAATAGGTCCCTTCAACTGGGACTGATAATTTATACAGTCAAAACTTTAAAGTTTACATATAAAGGTATCCTATCCACCATTGAAAAGTACAGCTCTCAACATATACAGGTTTTTTTTTCAGGCCACAGTTTTGAAGGTCTGGAGTATCAAGTTGGTTTGATGAATTAGTCGGTTGGCACTTATGAACACATTTATTGCCCTATTGTAAGAAAGAAAACACATTTCAGAAGCAGAATGGAGACCTGAAGCCATCAGATAGAATACATTTCAAAAGTTATTCAAGTGGAATGGCACTAGTGTCGATTTGAATGCTGCTTATTTTTCAGCACTCCAAGCAAGAACGCTGATCAATTGATCATTCAGTGCTAGAGAGGAGCAGCACCTGGACTGATAACGTGAACTAATTAGGTTGTTTGTTTGTTTGATGTGCCCAATAATTATAGTTTCTCTCCCCACAGATTTCTCTTCAACCAACTGAATGAATGACATGCAAAAATACTTCATTTGCACAAAACATTCCACATATTAGCAAACCTCTCACCTCCAATTCTGAAATAAGGAACTCATTCACACATTCTTGCATAATAATAATAATAATAATAATAATAATAATAATAATAATAATTTATTATTTATACCCCGCCCATCTGGCTGGGCTTCCCCAGCCACTCTGGGCGGCTTCCAAAAAAATATTAAAATACTGTAATACATCAAACATTAAAAGCTTCCCTAAACAGATCCCTTCAATAAAGGACACAATGAGGAACACATCTTTCTTATTGCCAGTGTGAGCAGAGAAAGTAAGGTGGTCTTACCCATCTTAAATCCTGTTGCAAAGTTGACACATTTATGCTTCATTTTAGTTTCTTAAAAGTGTAACTTCTAAAGCATTATTAAGTTACTTTTTCAGATGTTTAAAGTGATGTACCTCATTTAAAAAACCCATGATAAAATAATGAAGAGAATTATAAGAAAATACACTGAGCAACTAACACCTCAATTCTGTACTGACGAATAAGTCCCTTTGCGGTAAATGTCTTCATTTATTTCATTAATCTATATACTGCTCAGCAATGTAAAAGTAGCTGAATACAGTTTGTTTGTTTGTTTTATTTTTTGAAGTTGAGACAAGTTGAAAGTTTAAATCAGAATTCTGTTAAAACGCCTGCTGGTGGTGGGGGGAGAGACTTCAAAAAGTATTACAAGTTCAACAGAGAGGGGAACCATCTGAGCGCAAATGGAAGAGTGCTCCATAAAATTGTGCACACAATACTGAACACACAGTTCCTGGTGGATACAAGTCATGCATCTGAGCCACGGCGGACCACTAAGAGTGACTCTCCTACCCCAAACTTCAGTTATTGGCTAGGGAAATAATAAATCAGGTGGTCCTTGAGACATCCTGGATCCAACTTGTTAAAGGCCTTGTAAATTAACGCAAGAGCATTGAACCTGGCCCAGTAGCGTATATGAGAATACATGGGCCTTATTCCTAGGTAAGTAGATATAAGATGGCAGCCCAAATCAACCAAAGTCCTGCCAAAAATGTCTTACAGCTCTTGTGGAAAAAACACAAAAAAGGGCTGCTCTTCATCTCTAGAGGCAAGTCATTCAAAGGTCGTGCGGCCAAGGCAGTAAAAGCCTTAATTTTTCACTATCACCACTCTTGCAAAAACTGCTTGATTAGCCAACCACAACTATTATATGGGGCAATAAAAGAGTAGGTGAGTAGGTGGTTTGTAGGCAACAAAGGGCCTTATAGGTTGAACACTGAATTGGGCCTGGAAACAGTAAATAGCACAAAATTGGCTCAGTGTACTAATCCTGTGATGTTAGAAGGTGAGCAGAACAATTGTACTTTGACACTTCCATGCCATCTTCAAGGGAAGCCCCATGTAAGAGCCATGGGAGCATTGTACACAATTATATTCCCCCCACCAACCAGTGTTACACACATTGGCCAGGATTCAAATAATTACTTTTGGCGGCACCCAAATGCTGGCACATTGTCAGGGATGTTGTTAACTTTTTTCAAAAGCAGAGAACCCCACAAGCAGCAAACGTGGAAATAAAAATTTGATAAGACCATAGCAGTAAAATCCAATGACCTACATACACTTGCAACCCCAGACAACTCAGCTTTTATGCTAAGTAAAGCTAGAATGAATTAACAGGTAGCGAAGGCCATCAAACTCAAATGTGAGTGTTGCTTGGTGAGTAAAAGTGACTTTTTTTTTGCTTCATCCTCAGCTAAATCAATTTCACTTCTTGTTTGCAAATTATACCCAGTCACAGCATGTGTTAGTTTCACTCTTACTAACTAATGGAATTCCTGGGCTGCCCAGTGTTTAACAAACCGGAATAATACCATACAGTAGTATAAACTTTAAATAAACTGAGCACTGTACAATGCCAAAGACTGGAGGAGTCTGTGTATATCAGCATTGTCCATTTAACTCCAACTACTATGAACCAGGTCAAGGAACAGATGGATTCTTTTCCTCCTCACTACCGAGAGCTAAAATCACTGTTTGATAACTTCCATCACTGGCTGCTGTAGCTAGTCTTGTTGCACATGCTTCCCCTCATGTGCAGTACACCGCTAAGGAGCAGTGAAAATGCATGCACTCCTGCAATGGCATACGTTAAGTTCCAACTGCAAGAAGGAACTGATCAGTTGGGAAAGCGTGGCACAAAGACCAGACCACATGCCTATGTAGTTCAGCATGCTGTTTCCCACAGTGGTCAACTCTCAGAGTCCTCTTGTCCTCTCCCAAAGTTGTTCCTTAGCCACTGGTACTCAAGATACATAATGTCCTGGACAAAGCATAAAGGCATCTTGATTACTGGCCAGGGACATCCTTCTACCATTTGCTCCCAGTATGTGTTCCTTTGGGATGTATCACTTCTATAGTTGGATACTCCATTTCAGCTATCCTGGCTTATAAGGAAAGATATCTAGAAGGTCACAACTTCCATAATCTCTGAACATCAGCCATGCTGGCTGAGTCTGATGGGAGTTGGAGTCCAACAACCTCTGGAGGACCAGTTTCCTCATCCCCATTCCTCATCCTCATTTTAATGTCTGATGTTGTACTGTTTTTAATATTCAGTTGGAAGCCGCCCAGAGTGGCTGGGGAAACCCAGCGAGATGGGCGGGGTATAAATAATAAATAATAATAATAATAATCCCTAAAATGGCCATTAATTTGACCATATATGATAACTACTTTTAGGAGACTTCCCATTCCTTATTCCCCCTCCCCAAACAATCTGTAACAGCAGCATTAAATGTGTTAATTTTAGTTGGGGAATGATGGACATTGTTGGAAGAGCAGAAGAAAACATGCTTGGATGATTTTTCCTGTTTTGAATCCATCAGGTTTGCAGCCATCTCAATATAAGCCATCAAAGGTTTCAGTATTTAAAAAAAATCCCTGATTCCCAAGAAAAGTTAATGTTAAGACGGAAAACATGACAATCTCTATAGTAACAGGCCAATCTATTTTCGAACACTTGTTGAAGTGTGTTAGCAGAAAGTGAAGAAGTGCTTAAGACACTAGTCAGTGCAAACAATACTCATTGCTGTTACAAAATATTTCAAATAAATATTTAGAAAGAAAGATGACAGGCAAGACATAACAAATTCACCAATTCGAAAAACGAAAAGAAAAAAACTCCCAAGCATACTTACTTTCCATCTTTAAAATAGGTTTTCAAAGTGTCGCTGAAACTTTTAGAGTATTTTACAAACTCTTTCTTTTGGTGCTCAAGTGCCTGAAATATACATATGCAAAGAGTCATTCAATCAAAGCCTCAACCTTCATAAACCATTTTTATTAGCCACTGGACACTGATTAAAAAGATAAACAGAAGAAAATAAGCATAAGTGCTGTGATAGCAAAATTCTGTTTAAGAAATGAAACGACTAACAGCACTTCTGTAAATGCATCTGGGAATGTTTGTTTACAGCAACAAAATTCATACAGAGCATATTAGAAAATTATACTAAGCCTTAAATGTAGCCACTGCAGACAAAAAATCCACAAATACTAAAAATCAGGCAGTAGGAAAAACTAGTAGCTTAGTGACAGAAGATTGGTTTTCATTCTGTTTGCTTCTTCCTCTGCAAGTTTATTTGTCTTAACTGCCAGTGGTTGTTGAAATGATTTACAACTCCCACCATCCAAGCATTATAAACTGCGGATCCTTTAATATTTATAGTTAATATGTTTATATTTCTGACAAGCCAACATAGCAGAATTTAATTCACATACCCTCCGGTTCTGGTATTGATATTTCTTGAAGACATTATTTACTGTGTCAAGAAGTTCCTTTATTGCACTGGCGATGTCCCTATTTGGCAATGAAAAGATAATTGCAACATCTTTTAAAATTAGACTAACTCAATGCAGAATTTTAATCACTTCCAAAATTATGTCTGACATGTATTTCTAAAGGATTTGCTGTCTTACAGAATGAGTTTTAGATATGGCACAGCAAGAGTGAACACCAAGAACTAATTAGATTATATAGCATTTCAAAGTCCAAATTAGGTTTAATGCAAGCCTTCCTATGTGGAAAGGTAGCATCTGCTGGATTTAGAACTCGACACAATAGTGTTACACAGCAGGAGCTCTGGACTATCCTCAGAATGATACCCTCCCTTCAGAGGAACTCTGAATATATACTATGAATAAAATGAACAGATATGAAAAAGTGACCCATGATTCACCTTAAACTATTTTGTGAGCACTGATCTCATGAATTGAGGCTGTTATCTTGTCCTACCTAAGTCTCTAGGCATTTAAATAAAGTTAAACCACCTGGAAGAAAACTGTCACAGCAAGTATCATTGAAAGCAATTTGATGGCAGTAGCCCCTCTCAGAATTAATGGAAACAATTTCATCTTGTTCTAACTTGGCAGAATTTAAGGTCACTCTACAACAAGACTAAACAGCCTTGCGCTGGGGTTAATAGAGGTCAGGAGAGAGAAAAGACAGTTAACACTATGATCTGTGGACAACTCTCGGGTTTTCACAATTACAACCAAAGCCACAGAATCCTCCCCAAAGTCACATGTGAAATTAAAATCATAGCCTGAGAAGGGTTCAGACAAGCATCTACACCCAAGCCAGCAAGTGTGACATTAAGATGTTTGGAGTAACTGAGCATATTCAGGTCTACTTCAGCTTCCTTGCAGTTCACCTTCAAAAATGCCTATCAAACTGCCACGTTAAACCCAAAGGCACAAAAGAGTTGCGATTATAATTTGGCAACTGAAGCCGGGTAGCAGGTCTTCTATGTGTACTACTGCACAACTGGGATAGACTTTCCCATTTTTTAGGTTTGGGATTCTGCGGGCAGCAAGCTGTTCAATAACCCACCCCCCCAAAAAAAAAAATTAGTTATGTCACACCAATCATGCTTGCAGCTGGTGACTTCAACATAAGGAAGAGATTGTGGGAAAGTTGGGTTAAGAGGATGAACCTTAATGGGAGCTGGAGGGATTAATTAAGATTTGTGGAAGTGCTTTCTCTCTGATCCTAACAAATGCTTCTCAAGGGGAGGAGTATTTTAAATGTATGGGGAGAAGGGGGCTTAACTACTTCAAATATTCTTGAATAAGTAAAGGAGTGCAACTGGGACAAGAAAATGTGTGCTCTCAGTCTACCTGCTACAGCACCATGCACATGATTTTTTGCACATTTTTTCTGCCTATCTGGAAGCTCTCCCTAGGTATGCAGAACCCCCTCCTACTCAATCTGCGGAGAGCTCAATTTTGCTGCCCTGTCGATAGGCAAAGTGCCTTTAGCTTAACTATTCAAAGGAATCATGGATCAACTTATACAGAAGTTAATTACACCAAATGAGTCTCAAAACTAATTTGAAGCTTTTTAAAAAAAAATTGGCTCCAATCAAATGACTGAAATGAACATGCAAGCTTAACTCTCTCATGGATTGTGGCCTTTTACTTTCTCATCACTGCAATGCAGAAAGCGTTTTAAAGTTATAGTCATAAACATAGGAGCGTTTTTAAATATGCCATGTCACAGGGCACATCTAAATTGAGAGGCCATGCAAGCTCTGGACCAGTGCCTAGATGAGAGGGCCAAATTGTCTCTAAATTCTGGCAAGACAGACATTTTGGTCAGTGACTTGCATTTGATGGGGTTTTACTCCCCTTGAAAAAACAGGTTTGTAGTCTGGGGATTCTCCTGGATCCACCTTTATTCTATAGGCCCAGGTGACTTGACTGACTAGGACTGCCTTTTACTGGCTGATAAAGGAAGTTATGATCATTCCGGACCACGATAGCTTGAATACTGTCACCCATGTGCTGGTAACCTCCAGGCTGGATGTCTACAATATGCTCTATGTGGGGCTGCCTTTAAAGTTGGTCCAAAAGCCGCAGGTGGTACAAAATGTGGCAGGTCAATGGCTCACTGGGGCAGGAGATTGCCAACACATTATCCTGCGGTAAATAACTGCATTGGCTGTCACTTGGCTACCAGGCTAACTTCAAGGCACTGGTTTTAACATATCAAAGCCCATACAGCTTGGACCAGGATACCTGAAATATTTCATCAATCACTATGCTCTGCAGAAACCATCTTATTCAGAGTTCTGACATCTAACCTTTGGAATCCCCTCCCTTTAAATATTATGTTGTGTTTTCAGTGCCTACTGAAGACCTTCCTCTTCCCAGCAGCCTTTTAAGTAGAGATCTTTCCCAGTTTTTCATCTGCACTGGAACTGTTTCTGAGATGTTTTATTATCACTTGTTGTTTGCCACTGTGGGCTCTTTTGGGAGGAAGGGCAGAATATAAACTGATTAAATAAATAAAAACAGCTGCACATATGGGTCTTGGCACCACTGGAAGTCAGTTGCTTCTAGTGCCCATCATAGCTACTCTTTAGGTAGACACTGTGACAGCCTCTTTACCCTAAAGACTTTAACAAATTTTTAAAAACTTGGTAAAGCTATAATGCAAACTGGCAGATGGTTCCCTTAAGGTTAGAGGAAGCCCATTTTTAAAAAATCTAATGGAATGCTTAAAGTACTATTATAAGTTAAGAGTTTATCACGGCAAACTGGGCAAAATTGGCATTGCTGTCCATTGCCAAGTAACAGATGCTGGTTAAGCTGCTGTAACCACTATTAGCACTGAAGCGGTTAAAGTCTATCCACAGCTTGAACCGCAGACAGAAAGAAAATTTAATTTTGAAGCAAAAATTCACAAGCACCGTACACTAAAATGATAAAAACCATAATTTAAAAACACTACATGCTACACTACATATAAACTGTAAGCAAAAAATACAAAAGGGGGGGGGAGATCAGCATAAAAGATAGGTTTAAGGAAAGTCTTCTGCTTGGATCAGCAAACTAGTTTAGACAGGAGCACTTACTTGATTGTCTGAAGAAACCTCACTCTGTCATTGATTTCATCTGGAATCTTACTGAGAATCTGTTTAAGTGCTCGTGCCTTTTCATTTAAGTCTTGGAATTCTGGCTCTGGCCTTTCAATCATATACTCTGAGGGGGTGTGAGAGAGAAAGAAATTGGTTACTTACTGCAATAAGATTAGTTTTCTTTTTCAGTGGGGATTTGAGCCTGAGTCTCCCCAAAAACCACACCAGTACCAAATGCACAATGCACATGGTGGGCAAGAACTGAACTATGAACCCACCCGGTTTTCCATCTTCAGTGTAAGACAATGTAGGTAACTAAAGCCCTAAGACATGTGCCTGACTGCCTGAAGGATGCTTGAGGGACATGCCAAAGCAGGATAAGCAAATGGTGCTCTAGGTGTATGAGGGGTATTTCAGAGCCAGTAAACAGAACAAAGAGAACATGAACAAACAGAACAGAGAGCCAGTGTGGTGTAGTGGTTAAGAGCGGTAGTCTCGTAATCTGGGGAACCGGGTTCAATTCCCCGCTAACCACATGCAGCTGCTGGGTGACCTTGGGCCAGTCACACTTCTTTGAAGTCTCTCAGCCCCACTCACCTCACAGAGTGTTTGTTGTGGGGGAGGAAGGGAAAGGAGATTGTTAGCCGCTTTGAGACTCCTTAAAGGGAGTGAAAGGCGGGATATCAAATCCAAATCCAAAGTCCTGGATTTGCATTCAAACTGCACTTCTGTTGAATTATTTATCATCTCTTAAAAAAAATAAAAAACATATTTCATGATAAGAGTAGTATCAATCAGCACAATCACAGACGTTTAGCAGAAATACCTTCTACGTCGTCAGCTGCCATGCGCAGGAGAGACTCAGTAAAGTTAACTTCAACACTTTTTTTCTCCAAAATTTTTATGATGATATCTTGTGTGAGACCTGGATTTTCCTTCTCAGCCTGCATTTCAAATAAGTTTTATTTATTTAGTACACCAACAGTCAATTTGCACGCAGCAAAAGATATCCAAGAATCACTACGGGTTCTAAATTCAAAATTATGTTTTTAAAAGCTAACCAAGCAGCACTGCATCATAATAAACATCCAGTTCTGCACCACCATTTTCTCCTTGAAAGGAAGACCTATATTTCTTGGACTGCATCAACATTTTTCATTTGTAACTTTGCCCAGTAAGCCATTTCATTTATTTCTGTGCAACATTTATTTCTATGCACTATAACAACCTTTCTTCTTTTTAACCCAACTGAAATTAAGGGACAGACTTATATACATGATTACATTTAAGTCCCTACAACATTATAGGCTGCACAGAATTAGGTACGTTCAACTTATCTTCATAGCTCTTATCTTTAGATACACCAGAATAACTTTTTCAACAGCTAGCAATGTGCATATCTTGTAACAGTAACAGGAGATAATGAACTCCACAGAGGGTAAAAAGGAGCTGCAAAACCTCACATTTCCTACATCCCATGTCTTACACTTTCCTCAGAGTGCTTTTACAGTATTGATTTTTTAGCTTTTTACAGAAGATATAACATGAAGTAGTAACAGTCAACCAGCACAGTAATGACTATACAAACTATGAAGTAAGATTGATACTTTCTGCTCCACACACCTGTGCCCAAATTCCTCTCAATTATAAACAAGGAAATCTGCACTCCCACTTCACATGCTTGTTTCTCAGAACAGAATCTAAAGGTAAACTCCAAATCCCAGGCCAGAGACAGGCTATACTAGGCCACAAATACTGTATTGATCTTCTGTCCCTCCCTAACCCAGTCCACCAGGCTAAAGGAATGGGACACTATCTCCTGCATCACCAAAGGAGGACCGCTAAGGAGACATCACCAAGTGCCCTTTCCCCTTTTACACTGGGAGACCCTGCCAGGTCAAAAGCCAAAGGCTGAATGAATTTGTTGGCTTTAGTGGTGTGCAAAATCAGGGACGATTCACACCCCAGCCAGTACCTCTTTAATCTTCTACCCTCGGGCAGGAGATATAGAAGTATAATCAGTCGTACCAACAGGCTAAAAACAGTTTCTATCAGTGGGCTGTTAGGCTGCTGAATGGAAAATAATATAGTACAACTGACTTTCGGGGTTGGTGTGTTGTGCGACAAGCACACAGAGTGCAATGAGACTGAGTGTTTGTGGGGGGTGGGAAGGCTTGGTTAATTTTATTGTACACAGGTTGTACATTGATAATAAACATTATTATTATTATTATTATTATTATTATTATTATTATTATTGAAATGTGCTTGTGAAGTAGCTCTCATACAAGCCAAACTGCAGCATGCAAGTCATTGCTTCCTGAACCAGCAGCCCCCCACCCCACCCCGGTGCTAGATGGAGATGCCCAAAGGACCTCTGTAGCATTAACTTAACAGAAAGATGCCTGCCCAACCATAAAGGAAGATTCCAAAAGCTCCCCAGACAGACATTGCTCATCTACTCTTATGGGCCACAATCCAGAGAACCAGATTGCTAATTCTGTCTGCTCAGTGTGTCTTTTGATATTGTTTGCCTTTAAACAGCGGCCTCCCATGTTGCATGGCAAGCCTTTCAAGAAATTAAGGGGACTTTCAAAAGCAATTTGCAATTCAGCATGGCAGAAAAGGGTACGTGTTTGAAGGGGGAAATTTCTAAGTGCCAACTGGGTTTGTGAAATCTTTTGAGGGCAAATGCTGAAGCTTCTAGATTCATGTTCCCGATGTCAAACATAAAACCTTCCTCATTGAAGCATAAGAATATAGCTTCTTTTCCTACTGGATGAATTTTCTTAAAGCATTTCAGAGTGTCAACAAAGCCCCATAACCAACTGTTTCCTAAACTAAAGTTAGCTAGTTGAGAAGAGTGTTTTACATCTTTTGCTTAAAGATACAATTTTCCCAGGTACACACTTGAGTCTTTTAAGTTGCCAAAATTTCTTCTTGAACCATGGGCACACAAAAAGGAGTATAGTACTTTCAAAGCAAATTCTACTAATGCCATATCAAGAAGTATTTTAGTTCCTTGTCCCTGGAAACCAAGCATTTCAGAAGCCGTAATATCTCTACCAAAAACAAAAAAATGTTGGGAGTGAAGTTGCTTAAACTGGTGCAGTTATGCTTCAGTAATTCATGTCCGCTTAGTGACAGAAGGTAGAAGAAAAAGCACCGAGCTTACATGCTGTCAAAGTTAAGCTGTACTCCTAGACAAGAAATGGGACAATCTGAACATAAGCCATACAATTTGGCAGTATTTTTTTTATAGGGCCAGAAATTTAACCATAACTTCTTATCCATAAATAAAGCCCACTTCTACTAGAAGAAAAAATGTGCAACTGATTTACAAAGAGTGCAATTGTGCTCATTCAAAATACAAGGTTGTAAGTAACAAGCCAAAAGCTTGTGGCAAAAGAGCACTGCTGATTATTAAAGTTTACAATAGGTAAAGGTAAAAGGACCCCTGACCATTAGGTCCAGTCATGACTGACTCTGGGGTTGTGGTGCTTATCTCGCTTCATTGGCCGAGGGAGCCGGCGTACAGCCCCCGGGTCATGTGGCCAGCATGACTAAGCCGCTCCTGGAGAGCCAGAGCAGTGTACGGAAACATTGTTTACCTTCCCGCAGGAGCGGTACCTATTTCTCTACTTCCACTTTGATGTGCTTTCGAACTGCTAGGTTGGCAGGAGCAGGGACCGAGCAACGGGAGCTCACCCTGTTGCGGGGATTCAAACCGCTGACCTTCTGATCGGCAAGTCCTAGGCTCTGTGGTTTAACCCACAGCGCCACCCGCATCCTAAAGTTTACAATACTGAGTAACAAATAATTTTGATATGAAGTGTTTAACTATGACTATATTTCATTTTACGCATTTGTTAGAGGCATGATTGGTTTTCACATAACAAAATCTAAATCATTTTATTTGAGACACTTGCAGTTCTTTTAAACAGTGGCCAAGGTCGCAGCCCCCAGAATATAAAGCCATGCCTTCTAATTTCTTTGGTTCAAGCAGCAACTGTCCCAGGAACTACAATGAGTGGAAAAACTCATTGGACTTCCCACCATGCTCTTTGTGCTCTAGCCCAAGGAAGAAAACAGATACCAAGGGATAATCACAGCTGCATTTCTAGGCTCTTTAAGAAACACAGCCCAATGAATGCCACAGCAGTCTTTCCAAAGGGTGGGAAGCAAAGCTGGGCTAATTCCAACTCACTTCTCAGACCTCAAAACCAAAGCCATGGCTATCTCTGTTGTATCTCCTTTAAAGTACTGTGAGAGGGAACCCTTTTAAGCCTTTTGCGACCAGGGAAACAATACAGTAAATGACAGGAAGAGGAGAGAGCATGAATGGGACCAGGTTTGAAATGGGAGACTGGAATAGCAAGGTCAGAGAAAAGGAGCAGAATCTCCTTAAATGTCTGCAAATCTGGAATACATCACCAATGCCATAGGGCATAGGCATTTAACTTATGAAGTTAGACCAAGTCAGGGTATCTAGCCCAATACTTCTACTCTAGAAGATCTTCAATGTCTCTGCAAAGGTCATTCACAATTCCTACCAAAGATACCAGAATTTAACTAGGACCTTTAGCATGCAAAGCAGATGCTTCACATCCGAGCTATAGCCAAACAGCAGATAGCTTTCTGCCTGTCTCAACCAGATGCATGCTAATTAGTGCAGGAAATGGGAATTTGTTTGGGGTCCCTAGGGAGAAGAAAAGTAATGGATCAGGACAGAACAAGACCAGTAGCTAAATCCAGTATGCAGTTAATCCAATTTTTACATTGCTGTATGAAGCTCATGTACAAATACACACGTTAATTATTCTTACCTTAATAAAAGCTGCTCTCAGTGTCTGAGCTGCAGATAGATTTACTCGTTCTAGCTGCAAGGTGGAGTTAAAAGTAAATTGTTACACTAATATAAAACATGCAAAACAAAAAACACTTTGCCTTATGAAACTCCACTTCCAAATTTTCTGTCAACTTACTTAAGCTGATTCTATGTTTAAGAGTAGCAGACACCGTCTCTCAGCTCAAAATTAAGGGTTCACACAGCCACTTATAAGCATAAAATTAGATAGCATGGTGATTTTTTGCTCTCTATATTCACATGGCAAAATGGTTGTGAATGGAGCAAAGACCTGAAAATTACTGGTTAGCTGGTAGAATTTGACAGCTGGTGGAGAACCATTTCCACAAAGGCCAAGGTTTTGACTAACATACAACCAGGGGTGGTGCAGTGATGCATTGCAACAATCCATTCATAGGACTGACAAAAAAGGACTCCCTAAAGATTTACAGTCGTGTTTAACAGACTCAAGGGTGACAACTGGAACACAGATTATAGACAGACATAATGAGATGCTTATACTTCCAAGGAGTGTGTAATAATTGTAAAGATAATTTAATATTTATATATGTTTTTCTTAAATGCACACCAGAGAAGGGCTGTTCCCTTGAATACTTAAACAAAAACAAAAGTTCCAGCTTCCTGGATCAGCAAATATTTCTGGATTTTACCATTTTAAAACAGGTCAATTCTGTGAAACTGCAGAAACATAGTACAAGACTTTCTGCCATCTCTGTGGCTGCCTAAAACCTGGATACTAATTAAAACCAAGTGAGTTTACATTTCAGAAACTTGCATATGCTGAGAAGTATCTTGAGAGCATATAAGTCCTGAAAAGAATGCCAGAACTAAGAAACAAACTGGGGCCAAAAAAGTTAAGGTTATAGATATTGATTTCATGGAAATAAGCCAAGCCAAAGAAAGATAGAAAGCAGGACTCATTAGTGCAGTTTGTAAAGACTTGGTAGAAAATGTTAGCTTACCAAGTATAAACAGTATGTTAGGGTATCCTCTAACCTCCTGCTTCCCAAACACTGTAATACATAGAAAATCAACTAGAAGGCATGTTACCTCATTAAAGACAGGATACATAACAGCATAGAGAGGCATGGAAACCATAGAAGTGGTCTCTGCTTCATTCTTCATCTCTTCCATTGTCATCCTCATTCAAAGACCCACTCTTGAAGAAAATGGCTATCAAAGCAGTGGACTTCTCATTCAATGAAGCGTTTCTTCTTTCTTCTAGTTGTATCAGAATGCTTAGAGCACTTTAAAAAACTACCCTGGAAGGAAGAGAGAGAGAGAGAGAGAGAGAGAGAGAGAGAGAGAGAAGGCTTCATTATGATCAGTATCACTTTTCAGACAAGAAGTACTACCAAAAATGTAATGCAGTAGATTCAGTACTGCCCCAATGAGCTCAGTTCCCTTCTAATCAAAGTTCAAATGTGCTGCAGGTTAGCTGATGATCTGTATGCAATTAATGCAGTTCTTGAGGATTTATCACAAGTTCTCATTTCAGCCACTTTCTTGAAAAGAGCAATGAAAATGAGAAATGATGTCTTTAAAATGCTAAAGGTCAATACTATTTTTACAATTTATACAGTAAGCATTCATCAGCGCTAGCGAAGTTAGTCATACATCCAACAGTGACTTGCTTGGAAAGTGATCGAACAGCCCCAAAATAGCAAGTAACATGTAAGCTGTATGTATGCCAGCATAATGTCATCTGCAAAGGCAATAGCCGATGGTCTATTTAACAGATTTACTGTATAGGTATGACTATGCTGTAATAAGTTTAAAATGTACAAAAAGCTACACAAACCTATATGCTTAGGTTGCTTTAAAACAAACAAAAGTCTCAAGCTCTGTTTTCATAAGGGTGTGCCAGCAACTGTTAGCTCAATGGAAAATAATGGTTCATGAAACCAAATCTGGTTTGAGATCCTCCACCCTGCCCTGCCCAGCCCAGCCCAGAGAACAGTGGACCTGAATTTCAAGTATTGGTAAGGAATTACTCCTATTTCACGGAGGATATGAAAAACTATGCTGGAAAAGCATTAACCAAGTGTATGCCTAAAAATTTGATCTTAACAATTAAGTATGCCAACTCTGACACATCTGAAATATTTTTTTATCCTCATGAGAAGTTTGTGGAGGACATATATGTTTCAAAATATCTATTAAATGGGATTTTAATAATATGACAGGTAAAATTAATCTAGTCCATTGGGCTTCAACCAGTGACCCAGGCAACACTAGCGGGTTGCCTTCAACCCAAATTGAGTCACAAAGCAACACAATCTCTTTTTTAGGTTATATGTTAAACTGATAAGAGAAAAAGCAAGGAAGAATCATAGAATTGTAGAGTTGGAAGGGACTCTGAGGATCATCTAGTCCAACCACTGTTCAAAATCGCACAGGCCGAAGACTTGTTTCGTGACTGACACGGGTCCAATTGCGACCATGCGGAGATCTCTGGATGCCAGGTTGGCAACTGACATCTCTGGCCCCTCCAGCTTTTTTAAGCAGGTAAGCAGAAGAACTTATTTATTGCATTTATATCCCACCCTTTTCTCCATGGACTACAGTATATGCTTTCCTCCCCATCTCAGTTAATACCTACAATGTCCCTGTGAGGTAGGCTAAGAGACTGTGACTGAACCAAGGTCACCCGGTGAGTTTTATGACTTGAGTGGGGATTTGAACCCTGATCTTCCAGGTCCTAGTTTGACATTCTAATCACTATACCACACTGGCTTCCTAGAATACAGTGGTGCCCCGCAAGACGAACGCCTCGCAAGACGGAAAACCCGCTAGACGAAAGGGTTTTCCGTTTTGGAGGCGCTTCGCAAAACGAATTTCCCTATGGGGTTGCTTCGCAAGACGAAAAAATCTTGCGCGTCCCCACGGGGTTTTTTCCGCTCCCCCCCTTTTCCTAAGCCGCCTATCAGCTGTTCCGCTGATAACCCGCTTAACAGCTGATCACGAAAAGCCGCTAGAGCGCTGTAGCGCTAATCCGATAAGCTGTCAATGGGCTTGCTTCGCAAGACGAAAAAACCGCTAGACGAAGAGAATCGCGGAATGGATTCTTTTCGTCTTGCGAGGCACCACTGTACTGCTATGGGAGAGCTATATAAATTAAGTAAGTAAATAAATATGGGTAAAGCAAACCTGGAATATTTTCCTTTAAGCTTGAATTTGTTTTATTCTGGATTGTTTTATTTGATGTTTTAATGTGCTGTAAACTGCTTTGAGATTTTTTTGTTTAAAATATAAAGCCATATAGAAATGAGTAATAATGATAATAATTCCCACAGCAAAAAGAAAGGCACCTAAACAATCCATTGTAGCAACTGTAACCTAGGTTTAAGATGCCATTTGGTAATTGGCTTATATATGTGTTGTAACACCGACTCCAACCCCCTGCCTTGGAGGAATATGCAGCTGTCCTGTATGGGTACTGAACTTGCAACCTTGGTGTTATCAGCATCACACTCTAATCAACTGAGCTATAAAGTGGTACAGTGGAAACTGTGAGCAAAGGAGATGGAAAGTAAGGGGGAATGAAGGGAGAAAGGGCAAAAGAAAGATTCAAAGTTTCCTAGATTTCAGGATGGACTAAAGGAGAGTGCCGAGTCTGAAAAGGTTGGAAATTACTGCTCCAGTTTCTACCAAATCACTTTATGATCCTGTCTCATACAAAAGCTAACTTCCATTATCCATGCATTGCCTCAGTCAAGAGCTCCTTTCTTATTTCCTTCACCTTTAAGTATAAAAAACTCATTTTGAGGTTAATGTTAGCTGCACAGCCTCTAGAATGTCAGGTTCCTCTAATAAGGTATTGAACAAGTACATTCATTCACCCAAGCATGAGTAAATGGGTAGGAAAATGGGGGGGGGGGAGAGAGTTTAAAGTGATGCACATTGGACCAAAAATATTTCACATATATGCTCATGGGGTTTAATGGCCAGCAACAAGTCCTTGGAGTCAAAGTGGATAATTCAGTGAATATGTTAATCCAATGTACAGAAGCTGTGAAAAAGACAAATTCCATTATAGGGATCATTAGGAAAGGAATTGAAAACAAAATTGCAAATATCACAATGCCAATTTACCAATCTATGGAGGGATCACACTTGATGTAATACGCAGAGTTCTGGTTGCCTCATCTCAAAAAGGCCATTGTAAAGATGGAAAAGGCTCAGAAAAAGACAAGCAAAATGATCAAAGGGATGGAACAACCTCTATGAGGAAAGGGGCTTTTAGTTTAAGGGGGAAAGTGAGTAAGCGGAGATTTGGTAGAAGTGCATGAAATTATGCATGGTGCAAATAAAGTGGACAGAGCAAAGTTTTTCATCCTCTCTCATAACACTAGAACTCAGGGACATCCAATGAAGCTGAACACTGGAAGTTTCAGGACAGACAAAAGAAAGTACTTCTTCACACAGCACATAGACAGATGGGAGGGGTATAAATAAGAATATTATTATTATTATTATTATTATTATTATTACAGTTACAACTCTGGAGTTTTCACCCACAAGTAGTAGTGATGGTCGCCAACTTGGATGGCTTTAAAAGAGGATTAGACAAATTCATGTAGGTTAAGCCTATCAAGGGCTACTAGCTACAATGTTCTACATCCACTGTCAAAGCAGCATGCCAGTTGCTGTGAATCACAAGTGGGGATTGTTATACTCTGCTTCTGCTTGTCTGCTTCCCATAGGGATCTGCTTAACTAGTTTGAGAGCAGGATGCAGGACTAGATGGACCACTTGCAGACTCTTCTTATGAGACATGAGGATAACCAACTCCACAAGTACTGCCTGCAAGGCTGGTTTTATCTAACCTCACGCTAAATTCAGCATTTCCCTAGCAAAGAAAGGTTAAGTTTTGAAGAAGGAAGATGACATCTGTCTAGCTACACTGCAGTAAATTTACTGGTTTACAGACAAAAAGCTTAGGGGAAGCTACAGCAAGGCAATTAACCTTGACCAATTTTCTAATGTATATTCTCTCAGCATGCAAGCCAAATAGAAAAGCAAATAGAAGCTGGCAGCTGTGTATTTGGCCAAAGTACAAACATACTGCCAAGCCAAGTTGGCGTACACTATTTCTACACTTAGCTTTTTACAGAAATTAACACTCATGCTTTAGAAGAGACTGCAGCCTCCAGTCAGGATTTCTGAAAATAGCTGAAAGTGGATTTCAAAACAACATTTTGGGCTAATGAAATGAACACCATCTTCTGCTCCCAAAAAACTCTCAGGTGCCACAAAGTGCAATTACATAGATGTGCACCAACATATAACAAACCTGTGTTTTTTTCACCCCAATGGTAAAAGCAGTTAACACACTGCTGTAATGCACTGCAAATACCTGACAGCCAGTAGTGCACAGAGGTAGTAATAATAACAAATTCAGGTACTGGGCATCACCATCAGCCAATATTTAGGCACCTTGGCATTGGAAGACCCTGGAATTTCTCCAGGACCAAACAGAAACATTAGCAACACATAAGCATATGAGAGCCCAAATTAATTGTCTTACTTCTGTATTGAACTCAAATTTCAGGTATGCTTTCAGAGCTGAAACCATTTCATACTGAGAGCACCAGACAAAATTATGAGCCAGTGTGAGTCTTGAACAGAGCTAAATTTTCAGTTCTCAAGTACCAGCATCAAAAATCTAGGTGTGTAGGATTTTATCAGATCCCAAATTTTGAAGGGGAATATAATTAAATTAGATGAAGAATGAAATACTTCCCTGCTGGTTTGTTCTATCTGTTGGGGAGATACAGCAGTGCTTGGAGAGGACAGAAACAGGACTCTTAAAGGAAACTAACAATTATCCTAAATGGAAATTCACATACAATTGTCCAAAAATAATCTAACTTTTATGATTTGCATACAATGCTCTGCTTATACTCTTACTTGTACAAGTGTTCAATATATGGCAACTTCTTCAGTGCATACATAGTCATGAGTACCATAATATTCAGCATTTCTCTACATAATTATTTTGACCTAGTTTACCTTGATATGCCACAGGGGAAACTGCTATTAAGAACTACCTGCTCTTAATAAAGTCTATGAGAAGATTTTCATTCCAGAAGAGAGTCTGTTCTCTAAGTCTTGAAATTTCAGTCCCACAGTTACTAACACCTTTCTTTAAGCTCTTTATGGAATTACCTGCTTTTTTAAAAAAATTAACTCTTATTATTTTATCTTATCATGATGACTAATGACTTACCAAATCCAGGGCAGGTACTGCCAAACCAAA